ATGGAATCGATGTTTATGTTTATTTTCAAGAAGAAATTTATATTATTTTTAATTTTTTTTAATAATGAAACTTAATAGGAGGCTATTGGTTAAACTCAATCTATTAACATTGAGGTTGTGAGTTTAAATTTGAGGTAATCACTTTGCACAAATAATGTTAAAATTATGTACCTAATATACCCTCCCAAGTCCTCCATTAACTGATGACTGAACTGGGTGTACTTTACAATAACATAAACTTTAAAACACAACTCAGTATATTTTGGTTGAGTAACAAGGTACATAAAAATAATGTAGTGATTGGCCTAAGTAATAGGATGCTAGAAAAATGTTTGGGAGCGCTAATTAGTGCTCCCACTAATTAGGTGGCAGTGGGTCCCGCCATTAATGATGTGATGTTTTGGTCTTGGAGTTGTATTTTTTTTTTTTTTTTTTCCTTTTTTAATGTATTAGTGCTATTAGTGGTGATGTTTTTAGTGAGATGAATCATTGTTGTAGGATGCTACTATTGACTTGGCATGACATCATAAATGAGATTGTACTTAACTAAAAAGTCTGTCTTAAAATTTATTTATTCCCCGTTCCAAAATATTCATAATTATAATTATGTGAGAATTTTGAAATTTGAAAATCTCAATATATATATTCAATAACTATGAGTGTTTTGAAATAAAAAAAAAAAAAAATGATTTAGACACTGATAATCTCATGCGATTAAATATGAATAACTCATTTATGAAACTTGCCCATTGTTTTGCATTCACCTAATATCACTAAGGAGGTCTATAATGGCTCATATGTCCCTCACTCCAACCTTGTGAATACCCTTATCAAACTAGCTTTACTCTTGCATCCAAACAACCTAAAAAGCTAAAGTGATCATATGGGAACTTGGGAAAATGATTGTTGCTATCAAATACACCAAGTCAAAGTGGGGGTGGGGGTGAGTTTCAATAGTACACTTTTGATCCATATGAGTGGGCATGGCACGGATCACCCATTGATGTTAGCTACAAGGAATGGTCAGTGTGCTCATACTTGCACATGCAAGGTGGGACATATTGACTATTTTTACAGGTAAGAATTGGGTTATCATCTAAATCAAAAGTAGGTTTTTGCACCATTGCGACAATTAAAATCCAATGCATCTATCATTTTCCATCGATTGCCTTTGCCCTTGAAAATGCTCATCAATGAATTGAAACTATCTTAAATTCAAGAGAAAGCAACACTTCCATGTTCACGAAACCAACCTTTCTAGACCCAATTCAATCCTTTGGTTTCTTTTTATGAATTTGTGAATGAAATGGAAACTATTTTTATTTTTATTTTTTCTTTTCTTACAAATTCGTTTAGTTTTTTGTTCTCTACACAAAGTCATTCAACAATTTAAGATTCAAGCACAGTATAAATGCATAAACAATCAAACCATTTATAAATTTAGCAATGGACCAGTAGTAAGAAGACCAAACCATAATTAATTTCTTAGCATAATTGAAGGTGGTAGCTACTTTAGATTTGCTCAACCGTTTAGGCAAATGTTCTCCTGAAATATATATATATATATGTTTACAAACTATTATTTTTTATTATTTTAACCTTTCTAAAATAAATATTAGTGTAATTATATCAAATTTATAGAGTTTATTGCAAATTTGTTTCTCCCAAACTTTAAGAGTGGTTAGTGTAATTTACCCTAATATTAATGTTCCCGTTTGGTAACGTTTTTCATTTCTTTTTTTTTAATGTTCAAAATAAAAATAAAAACATATTTGGTAAATTTCTATGGTTTTTAAAAATGTGGCAAGATTTTCAAAATTTTAGGAATAGAAAATGTGTTTCCATTTGTTTTCAAAATAATTTTTTATTTCAAAAGATAAACAATCTATTTTTAAAATTATATTGCAATTTATTTTTTTAGTACGTTTATAATAAAAATAACATGATTATAATCATCAATTCATTTTTTATTTATAAATGATATGAGACCTATAAAATCAACGAATTAAATTATTAAAATGAACTCATGAAAGGCCACAGCCCAATTTTTTCGGGCCCAACCCATTATATGTGTTAATGGTTCAATAGATTCTCTGCATTTCTGAATAGGAAATAACCCGGGATTGGCCCCCTTTTAAGATGATTAGAAAAACTTCATTTTGGGATGCCAAATGGTGGCCCATATATTAATAATATTAGCATTAATTTTGAGTTTTTGTAAAGGGGTTTAGTTTGGATCTCTCCTTACAAAGCCAGTTGTCACACGTGTGGCACTAATCATGTTAAGCACCAAGCCCACTCCCACCTCCTCCAACCCTAAAGCAATCATTCACTCCATCTCCTCCTCCCTCTCCATCTTTAGCTTTTGTTCCTTCCCCTACCCTTCATCCCACTCACCCCTAGCAAACCAATCTTTTTTTAATCAAATTGGTACAAAGCAACCTTTTCTTTTATTTTCACTTATATATATATATATATAGAGAGAGAGAGAGGGTAATGCTATTGTATACATCATATGTAAATTACGTCATTTGTGGGGTTGATTATCACAAATCTCATAATTCAATCTTATGAGAATCATAATTAAAAAAAAAAAAAAATTATAACCAAACACCACATAAGGTATAATAACTAAAGAACTCTTAGATCATAACCAAAATAATATCATAATGAGTAATAACTAATACCATAATATGTATATCCAAGTCATAACTAAAACTTCAATAGGTCATAACCAAAAACTATAAAAGGTTAGTTCAAAAAAAAAAAAAAAAAAAAAAAAAAAAAAAACTACAAAGGATGTGCACCACAAAATTTTTCATATATGTAAAGTTGATGAATTTGTAATTTTACATATAAACTTTCGGATAATTTAATGAGTAAGGAAAAAGAGTTGAATTTGAAAATTATTTAGAAGTTATATCACTATGAGAAAAAATACATTTGCCGATTAAAAATGCTGACTTAAAAAATTTAGTCACCAAATATACACACTCTAGCTATTAAAATTTTTAGTTGCCATTGACTTTCGGTAACTAAAAATGAGGCTTTGGCGACTAATCTTTTAATAGCCGAAGGTGTATTTTCTTGTAATGTATTTATCAAATGTAAGTTTTTCAACTAACTGAATTATAGTTTAAAAATATATATATAGAAAAAGGAAAAATAGTTACAATTTTATGGGCATTTTAGAAGGGGGAAAGAAAAATTTACACCATATGGGATCTTGCTAAAAACTGAACAAGTTATAAAAATTAAATTAGCCATTACACAAGGATAATTACACGAGAATAATTTTGCAAAAAAGAAAAACTGTGACAAAACTTTATGAGAATTTTAAGTACTTTAGGTAATAGTATATCAATAACAATATATATTATAATCACATACAACATTCAAATACTGAAGATCATTGTGTATTAAGTATGGATATTTGTTAGAAATGTAAAATTGATGATGGTGGGCCAGCCCGCTCGTGCGATCATGCGAGGTCAGGCCCATCAAGAAACTGGCGGTCCCAACAAAAATAGATTTTTTTTTTTTTTAATAAAAAAATAAAGATATGGATGGCTTGTCGAGTGTAGTGTTTGGGCGGTTGCTTTGCCACATTTCTCATCCCATCACTAAAGTGTTCTCTTTTGATAGATGCAATGTCAAGGTACAAAAATACATGTGGGTGTATATGCATATACATTTCATATTACAAGTTTTGTTAGATTTTAATAAAGTAACAACATATTGAATTTTTATGATACGGTGAGTTTTATTTAGTGAACAATTAATATAAATCATTTGGGTTTTTTTATTTATTAGAGATAGGAAGAACATAGTGAGGTAAGGGTCAAACTTACGATCTCTTGTTAAGAATGTAGATGCTGAATGAGTAAGGGTTATTTTAGAAAAATGATTAAAAGTCATCTTCTAGTTTTTAGTTTGAGTTATATCATCTCTCTATGTTTTTAACAAAAAGCTAAAAAAAAAGTCAGTTTTTAATCATCTTTCCAAAATAACCCTAAGTTATAGGTACATTGTTAAACAATTTCACTAATTAAGAGAAAATACCTTAATGAAATAGTTATTTTCAATGAGATAATTGTAAACATGAAATTTAGTAGTTAAGAAATTTTTGCTACACAATGGGACTCATTGGTTAATCCATGTTCCTTTCTTCAACTTGGGCTTCATTTGATTTGTGGAAAAGAAGGAAGAAATTGGAATTAGATGATATCGGAATACATGATTTAAGTTGATATAGTAATTAATTTTATTAATCATTTTTATTTCATGCATAAGTGATTATTCTGTGACATCTAATTCAAAAATAACTCTTTAATGGATGAGTTAGTAAAATGTTGACATTTCAAAATATTTTATCCAACTTATAATATTCGACTCAAATAAATTTTTTTTTATAATTAATTAAATTTTGAGCAATGATACATCCTTCTAATTTTAGAACTCTAATTGAGCTCTAATGATGTGGTACAAAATAAAAAATAAAAAAAAATAAAACCAATGCCAAAACATCACATCTCAGTGAGATCTACTCCCATTAGAATTCTTTTATTATCATTTTTCTTAAATTTTATTGTCCATTATTATCACTTATTCAAAACATCCAGTCAAATGAAACATAACCTTGAGGCCATGTTTGTTTGGGTGGACATGAGCTTGGGATTGGACTAATAGTCCAATAAAATTATTAATCCGATGTTTGGTTAAACAATTGAAGTAAGGACTAATTATTTTAAACTTGACTTTTAGTTAAGATAGGATACATAATCCAATGGATTTGTAATGCCAGGATTATTAGTCATGGGAATGCTAATCCAGTCCGCCCAAACAAACATGGCCTGAATGTCTATATGCATGGAAATGGTACTATTGTCCAATCACATTCAAGGGGGTGATCTAATATGACATGTATAGGTGGTGACCTAGCTAGGTCCCCCCACAAGTTATTCAATCATTTTGCTCCCAAAAAATTAGAAAAAGAAAAAAAGAAAATGTAAAAGAAGAAAGTAGGAGAACAATGCCATCACAAGGAAAAAGAGCAATCACTTGCTATATATCTATTTATAAAAACTAAACACACCTCCAATCCATTGCCTCCTCAACCTCATCATCGCCATCAACAATGGCTTCAGAGAAGGTTGAGACCGTCGTCGCCGGAAACTACCTCGAGATGGAGAGAGAAGAAGGAGAATCCAAGTCTGCAAAGAGCAAGCTATCAAGGCTGTTTTGGCATGGTGGCTCAGTCTATGATGCATGGTTTAGCTGTGCTTCTAACCAGGCACGCACTTGTTCATCATAACCTCATATCATCTTTCTTATAAGTCGTTCCTCTGTTTGGTTTCGTTTTCAGAATCATTTTTATAATTTTTATTTTTGTTTTTGTTTTTGTTTTTGAATGTAGGTTGCACAAGTGCTTCTCACACTGCCATACTCATTTTCACAACTAGGGATGTTGTCTGGAATTCTTTTCCAACTGTTCTATGGGTTGATGGGAAGCTGGACTGCTTACCTTATTAGTATTCTGTATGTTGAGTACAGAACTAGAAAGGAGAGAGAAAAGGTTGATTTTAGGAATCATGTGATTCAGGTACTTTTTCTCTTCTCTTTTCTCCTTCTTTTCTAACTCGTCTCCAATCTGATGATTACTTGGAATATCTTGATAGAGCCCTAAAACAAATCAAACTACTTGGACTTGTGTTTGATTGGGAGATTATGTAATAACAAGCCAAACTTATACATATTTTAAATCTCATTAAGTTTTTAGTTAAAATAAATTTATTTTCACTATAAAAATTAAAATACTAAAGTTTAACTTGTGTTCGCTCTTTAAAAACTCATTTAAAATTGACTCGTTATGTAGAAAAATCAAATTTAAGCATATTTTGAAACTTATTAAATTTTTATTATGTCAAATTTAAGGAACTAACTACTCGGCTCGGCTCTATGTCTTGACACTTTGGATATTGGATACTTGAAGATCATTTTATGGGCTATTTTAATATTTATGCCAGGGAAATATGAAACCCTTTCCTTCATTTTCTTGACAACCAAACAGTATTAAGAAAGTACTTAATTGTATGCAGTGGTTTGAAGTTCTTGATGGGCTCTTGGGGAAGCACTGGAGGAACATTGGGCTGTTTTTCAACTGCACTTTTCTTCTATTTGGATCTGTAATTCAGCTAATAGCTTGTGCAAGGTATAATTTTTTTTTTTTTTCTTTTCAATTCAGCAAAAATTTCTTTTTCTTTTAATTCTTGAATTAATATATACGAAATTTAATTAATTTCCATTGTTGTTTTAGTAACATCTACTACATCAATGACAATCTTGACAAGAGAACTTGGACTTACATCTTTGGCGCGTGTTGTGCGACTACTGTTTTCATTCCTTCATTTCATAACTACAGAATTTGGTCATTTCTTGGCCTTTTGATGACAACTTACACTGCATGGTACTTAACCATTGCTTCCTTTCTCCATGGACAGGTATAGATATTTATTTTTTTTAATAATTTCTCAATCTGGATCATTAATCCTTTTTTTTTCCGGTCTTTAAGCATGATTTAATTAATATAAACTTGCACAATAAAAGTAAAATTTTGGTTTGATTAGGTTTTAATATTGCATTACTATATAACTTTGTTTGTTTTGGTATGCTAAGGTTGAGGGAGTGAAGCACTCAGGACCAACCACAATGGTTCTCTACTTCACTGGGGCTACAAACATTCTTTACACCTTTGGGGGCCATGCTGTGACAGTGTGAGAATTTAATCATTAATTAGTCAAGTTGATTCATATTATATATATATGTATATATTCATGCAATCTAGATGCTTTATTGCATGTTTGGATGGAGAGATATATCACTGGATGGAAACCCCTTTCTCAGAGATGGGAACATGTTTCCTGAAAACTGGTGCCCCACTTCTTTTTATAAACTTTGTATAGGTTTAATTATGACAACATTATCTTAACCATCACTAAATATTACTTTATCTCTTTTAATTTCAAAATCGCATGTTTAAAAAATTCTATGTGCATAGAAATTGATCACAGAATTAGTCACAACTCATTTATATTAGGTGAATTCCACCTATGTGAGAAAGTTGGGTTTGATTATATAATCAGATTGTGTTGATGCAAAACTCATGATTTGCATATCAAATTAACTCTGTTTGGGGATGGTTTGAATGTTTTTAGGGAGATAATGCATGCAATGTGGAAGCCACAGAAGTTCAAGCTAATATACTTGATAGCAACACTCTATGTGCTCACACTAACCCTACCATCAGCAAGTGCTGTTTACTGGGCTTTTGGGGACTTATTGCTTAACCATTCCAATGCTTTGTCTTTGCTCCCAAGGACTGGTTTCAGAGACACTGCTGTCATCCTCATGCTCATTCATCAGGTCAATTTACCTTCCAATTTAGTTATATATATTATTTTCATTAATATAACATTCAATTCATGAGTTTGCTTTAACATTTTTGGTCAAATTAAAATGTTGACTATTACAATCAAAATAGAGGTTCAAATTGAATTTTTTTTTGAGGAAAAAAATTGTATACCCTGAAAATATAGTGTAGGATATAAATTTAAATTTTTTGTGATGTAAAATAAATTTGGTCTAATCATTTTAATTTTGGAATAAATTTTTAAATATTTTTTTGTGGGCGCGTGGTATTATGTGAAAGTTTGTCCACCAAAAAAATAATAATAATAAAATAAATAAATAAATGTGTCCAATTCAAATCAATGGTATACATTTAATCTTATTATTGTGGGACCAAACACACCGTAAATGAATCTTGACCTGAAAGTTTGTCCACCAAAAAAATAATAATAATAAAATAAATAAATAAATGTGTCCAATTCAAATCAATGGTATACATTTAATCTTATTATTGTGGGACCAAACACACCGTAAATGAATCTTGACCTTTTACTGTAAATTTTGAACATTTTTCTCGGTTTGTTTTTCTGAATTTGTAAAACTGCTCCAGCATTATTGTGCATGCAAAGTACAAGGGTTCTAACTGCAATTTAAATGAACTAATTAAATGAAACATTTTGTATTGGGTTGGTGCAGTTCATAACATTTGGATTTGCATGCACACCACTGTATTTTGTGTGGGAGAAGTTCATAGGAATGCATGAGTGCAAGAGTATGTGCAAGAGGGCTCTTTCTAGGCTTCCTGTGGTCATCCCTATTTGGTTCCTTGCTATAATCTTCCCTTTCTTTGGTCCTATCAACTCCACTGTTGGATCTCTTCTCGTCAGCTTCACTGTCTACATCATTCCTGCTTTGGCTCACATGATCACCTTTGCTTCTCCTTCTGCTAGAGAGGTACTCAGTTTCATAATCTATCTTATTCTCCCTGTTTCTTTGATTCGTTTTCATAATTTATTTTTAAAATTTAGAAACTAGATGAAAATAAGTAGCAAAAATATATTTTTTTCAAATTTAAAAAAAATATTTCGCTTCAGAAAAGAGGAAATCATATGGAAATTGACAAGTGTTTTTCATTTTTTCACCAAACTAGTTTTCGATATTTTTTTTTATTTTAAAGAATACATATTTAGAAAACAAATAAAGTGCCCGCTAAATAATATTTAATTACAAAAATATTACTGTTATATTATTCTGATAACAAATTATGTATAAAAGGAATAGTATTTTGCCTTCAAAGAATCACCCCATGTGATTATCTTGAGGCTTATTTGAGTTGTTTTTCACACTAGTGAAAAAGTAGCTTATTGAAAAATAATTAACCAATAGTTATATGTAAAATGCTACTAACAAACAAATAAATCACAAAATAGAACACAGACACTCACATGCCTATATGTCTCGCACAGTATGAGACCTAGAGGCACGTGAGTATTTGTATCTCATTTTGTGGTTTCTTTTTGTATTAGTAGCTCTGTTGCATTGCATATTTATGGATTTGTTTGCTAAAGAACTCCATCAATTATTTATTATTTTATTTGTTTATTTCATTTATTACAATTTGATTCTATAATTTATTTATATATTTGTTTAAATTTGGTGTTTCACAGAATGCAGTAGAGAGACCACCATCATTCCTAGGAGGTTGGGCAGGCTCATACTGTGTGAACGTCTTTGTGGTTGTTTGGGTTTTGATTGTAGGATTTGGGTTTGGAGGATGGGCAAGCATGCTCAACTTCATTCGTCAAATTGACACTTTTGGCCTCTTCACTAAGTGCTATCAGTGCCCTCATAAGCCTTGACAAGTCTTCCTCCCTATCTACCATTACCAACATCAAATTCAAGAATTTGTAATACGTATGGAAGTGTGTAAAGAGATTGCCTTTTGTAACCTTTTTCTTTTTTTCCCTTGAAAGTTGTGTGTCAATGTTCTTTTTTCCCTATATGATTTTAATTTCTAATCAAGCAAGAGAAATGTTTTCTATTATGTTGTCAATTAGGAGGAAGGAATTGACTAATTTCTATTATGTCCTCAAAGTTTTCTGTTTTTTTGTTTCCAGGAGTACGACGAGTTAGATTATGTCTCAAGATTTTCGTGCATCGAGCATGATTCAATAATTGTGATAGTTTTGGGACATGAGACAGAAGAATTTGGGAACGGAAAATCCATAACCCATTATCTATGCCAATCAACTGATCACAAACATAATCTGCAAATTTAGGCCACCCTATCTAGTGAGGTTGAACTTTGACTTAAACCTTATAGTTTTATTTTTATGTCACCTCATTAATTAGGTGTGTATGACTATTCCAGACAATTTGATGGAATTTGAAATACTAACACATTAGTTCAAAATCACGTAAAGAGAAATTAATTATTACAGGACAAAAACAGAGAGGTTAAATGAATTTCGCAACTTTTCTTTTTCTAGGGATGCAACTCTTTTTGTTTTCTATTATTTTGTCAAGTAGCAAGAAAAACTTGAGGACCACCTTCCTTGTCTGTGCCAACAAGAAGATCACAAACACAGTCTGTGGGAATTAGGCCACCCTATGAAGTGAAAGAAGCTGCAAATTGAGTCCAGATTTTGAATTGCTGTCACATTTATGTCATTTACATTGAAACGTCATGGAAAATCTTTGGATGTTCTTTATGGATTTGTATCTAACTTAGACCATCCAAAACCATTGTCAAGACAAGATGTCTAAGCATGATTGAGGGAGTTAAGGGTGGTCCAAATGGGCAAAGCCAAAAAGTGACATAGGTCCAAATGGTCTCAATGGACCAACTTTTCATATACACTGGTGAAGTCCTTATCACTTGGCACACCAAGGTTATCCCCACATCCCATGTTGTGAGGGTACCAAAGAGTTGTTTGTGGAAAAAGAACTACTTAAAGGAATTGACAATGAAGAAATGGTGGAGCTTGTAAGGAGTGTAAATGTAAATGTATGATAAGAGGCAATTGATTTTGAAGTGCCTAATTCACTTCTTGAGGTATTTTTAAATTGCCCAATCTGATTGAGAAATGTTATTCGTTATTTCATTACTTCCTTTCTCATGTGTATTTATGTAATAAATGTATGTGAACATCTGAGATTCATTATATTTTTAAATATTGTGAAACGCATGATGCTATATGAGAAGTGACATAGGCAGTTAAAAGTTTTAGTAAAATATTTAAGTGGTATATAGGAACTCTAAATTTGATTTGCTGTTTTTTTTTTTTTTGTTTGTTTTTTTTTTTTGCACTTCCTAAACCGTAAATACTTGACAATTTTGTTAGCGAATTTGTTATTAAAGAGAAGAACACGAGTTATTTGCAGTTCATTTGATGATTAGAGTTCATTTGATATATTAATAAATCATAAATTATTGGTGTTATCTATGCACATGAGAGAGAGAGAGAGAGATTGGCACAAATGATTATATTTTGAGAATTGCTATATATCACCTCATGAATTTTTATTATTATTATTTTTACTTTTCACATCAATTCAAAGGCAAGTGAGAAATGATCTTTAGGGGTAAAAATATAATTTACTCTCTTTCCAATGCTTCATATCTTTAATCACTGATCATCATTATGTGTATATAGAGAGAAAGGTAGTTTGGTTTAGTGGGCCATGAGGGTCATTATGAAGAACATCTCTCAACAACCAACCAGTTTAATATTATCGTGATCATATAACTGGTATGAGTTATACATAATTAGCTAGGCTTCAAGAACCCTTTTTTTTTTAAAAAAAAAAAAAGAAATAAAAAATCTTTTGAGTATGTAGGGCTTGAACTTATGAAGTAAGCAATCAAGTGATGGATCAAGTTCAGTTGTTTAGGGGACCCCATGTGTGGTTATGTTAACAAGAGCTGGGCTCCATGGGCTTGTATCACCTTAAGATTTGTATAACATTATTGAAAGAAACATAGTCAAAAGATGAGAGGAAAAACAAGGGTTAGTGGTGCAGTAGAAAGGTCAATGGCATGGTGAGAAAAAAAAGAAAAAGAAAAATCAGACTGACTCCTTGGTTGGTAATGTTTGCCGTTTGAGTTTTCTGTTTTTATTTTCATTTTTTTTTTTGAAAATTAAAAATAGAAACTTGTTAGGTATATTACTTTTATTTTTTGTTTTGATAAAAATAAATTTGATTTTTAAAATTTCAAAAATTTTGAAAACAAAAGAAAAAAATAAAGGTATTCACTCCTCTTTCCCTACCAATCACCAACCCTAATCACCAACTGGTCACCTTCTGTAGGAAATTTGGCAATCGAATGATCACCACCTGTGATCACTGGCAACACTCTGGAAACCAACTTTGGTGGCCACATCCGTCTACCCTCCACTGTCAATCACCACCTCTAGGAATTCACCAAATATGTTTCTTTATTTTTGTTTTCAGAACTTTTGTTTATACAACTTGGGACACCTAAGGCTTAGTGGATGTGTTCCCTCTAGGTTTTGGGTTTAACTCTCATGAGGGGCAATCCGTTTCTTGGGATCACACCCATAGGCTCTGTCTGAGATTTGGCGATCCATGTGGAGGGGGTGCTTTGTGTAGGTCTCAGGATTAGTCGAGGTGCACGTAAATTGATACAAACACTCAGTCATCAAAAAAAAAACTTTTGTTTATACCAAATAAGTTTTTTATTTTTTCAATTTAACTTGGCTTTTGTTTTGGGTAAATAAAAAATAAAAAACTGAAAATGTTATTAAATGACATCCAACTAAGCTTAACGTTTAAGTTCGAGTCCCAAAATCTCCTCTCTAATCAAAACTAAAATATAAAGGAGAAAATTTACAGAAGGGATATGTTACATCCCACTAATTTTTCCTCACACTCTCATCTAATAATATGACAAACAATTTCAAAAGAAGAAAGAAGAATTTAAAAAGAATTAATTGATTGATATTATTTGTCCCATTATTAAAAGAGAGTGTGAATGGGAAAGAAATTGGGGGATGGAAGATTTTTCTTTACAAAAATAACCAAATTTTGATTCCCACTCCACATGTAAAAGTTTTGGATGACCTATTGCCATGTTGCCCTAGCTATGCTTGTGCAGCTCAAAAGCTATGTCCACTTTCCAAACCTAACACAAAAAAGGAGATAACAAGCCAGCTCAAGAGATAGGGATTGAGTGTGAAACAGTAGCACAGAAACAAAGTGTGATAACAAGTTCTTTTTTTTCCTGTGTCTACTTTGACCATGAATGGACAAGATATACATATCAAGCCAAGTAGTGGTGTGACATCGCACATTATGAGTGCCCCCAAATGGGCACCACCATATCACTCTATAGAACTTTCCAAGATAAGGGCTTGTTTGGTTAGTGGTCACCATGATGGCATGTTTTCAATATAATCTTTGCTTTCTCCATATGATCAATGGGCCTCCCAACCTCCATCAAAAGAAATTGCTTTTGACCAGTCATTGAAAAGTTCGATCTTTTATCTTTTATTTTTATCAAATTGAAAGGTTTGATTTTGATCTCCCACTTTTCTGGTGAGGTAACATTACTCTTCTTCTTTATCTCTCTAGTTGGGAAAGATGGATCTTATTGTTGGGCCCAAGGTTTTGAAAATCGGATTGGACCGGCCGATTTGACTGGTTGAATCGTGAATTGGTCGGAGTTCCGGTCTGGACATACCCTCTAAACCGGCCAAAATTGAAAACCAGGATTTTTTTTTTTAGTTTTATTTTTTTTTATTTCCTTTCTTTCTTTCTTATTTTATATATATATATATATATATGTATAATATAAGAATATAAGAAAATTTTAATTTGAAACTTTTTTTCAAGGGTCTCTTGTGAGGAATCTCATTAAGAGCTTGATGAAATTATTGTGAAAATCTTCACCTATTTATAAGAAAAAAATTCTTTCAAAAAAACTCAAGAAATCCATGTGGGATACCAAATGCATTGGAGGGAATATTGAAATTTTGATATCCCTCCAAAACTTTTGCTCTCTTTTCAATCAAATTATTTGAATTAAAATCATATGGAGGTGTGGGGATATATTTTCTGAATACCAACACGTGGCATGGTGACACCGACGTGTCAGCCGAGGTGCCACGTGCCCTGGTAGTTAAGCTTTAATATATTTATTACGTCACGGTTCGATTCCGGTTCAACCCGACGGTTGAACTGGTGACCCGTCCACCAGATTCCTTTTTCGGTTCGCTCACCAGTCCGATTTTTAAAACATTGGTTGGGCCTTTGTAAGTTTACCACTCGATAGACGTATATTGATGATCTTTTATGTTTATATTTTAAATCCCTCTATATAGATTGTTTATAAAAAAATAAAATAAAAAAATCAGACTGGTCTAATAATGGTTGTCATACAATTTTTTCACATTTATTTTTAAAAAATAGATAATAATATGATTTAAAATATACATTGTTATTATTATTATTATTTTGAGACAAATGTACTACAACTATTGAAAAAAAGAAAAGAAAAGCGATCTACATATAAGAAATTAAAAAAAAATGAATGAAATTAATTATCAAAATGAACTTTATGATGGCTCACAATAGTTTAACAAGACAATTCAATCTTTTTTCTCAAGTGAAAAGAAGTTTAATTTTTAAAAATTTTTGGAGTTAACTAATTTAGACCCAATTAAAACAGTAAACCCTCATAAAAACATTTAAAATATAAACTAATAAAAAATGAATAATATTTTATCATGATAATGGTTGATTCAACGAAATTATTTTCACCGATCGTGCTAGGGAGCTCGAAAATGAGCTCCCCGAATCCCCTTAATTTTTTTATTTTTTTTTTGTTTCAGAAGCAGAAAATCAGAAGGAAGAAGGAGAAGAGAAGGAAGGAGGAAGGAGGAGGAGGAGGAGGAGAGGAACTAGAGGGGGCCATAATCACAGGGGAGGAGGAGGCGGAGGCGGGACTGGGCAGAGGCGGGGCTGGTCTGGGCGGCGATCAGGCTGGGGTAGACGACGACGGGGACGACGAGCTGCGACATCCGGCGACTAGCTCTTCCCTGCGATAGCGACGAGCT